TTTGGAGAGTTCAATACCAGCAAAAAACCTTGGCCAAGCTAATTATTTATCCATCCTGTGCAGAGCTGGTGTCCAAGGACCAAAACCTTGATATCAGAGCTCTGCCAGCCACTCACAGCCTCAGGGTCTCAACTTTCTCCTTCCATCCCTCTTCTACAATCACAGAACCTGTTCAGCTGTAAAATAAAACACACATGAGCTGAAAAGAGCTAAAATTTCAGGCAAGAACTCACATCCAGGCCACACACACACAGTGGGAAGCAGACGCCACACCAATAAAGATTCAGCACTATAATTAAAGAACTTTTTAGTCTTCAAGATTTTAATTTAAACAGACACATCTACTATATTCTCACATATCTACAGCAAAGTTTACAGCCACTTTGTATCTGTTTTTCTCCCCCCAAAGGGCTGAACATTGAGCCATGATCTTTTTTCCTCAGATTCGTTACCTTTTTTTTGCAATATATTCCATACCACAGCAGCTGGGGTTCTGTACACACACAGCATACACCTAAAACAGCACAACTCCCAGCCCTGCTATTGCAATTTGTACAAGAAAAATCAAGACTGATGCAGCAGCCAAGTCCAAATAGCAATTCCAGATGTTGGGACAGCAGTGCACTCATCACTTGAATTGGCAGCAGTGAACAGATACAGAGCACACACCACACAGTGCTGCTATCACAAAATACAGGGAGTGCTGGGATACACCTTTCCTCCTCCCACAGGAGCCTGGACACACAAGAGCACTTCCCAAGGCTGGAGCAAAGCACACATGAGACACCAAAATGCTGTACAGTGCAATTTGAAGTTCTATCCTATGCAACAGGAGTGCACTTCAACCAGTGCCACATTCAAGAGTTAGATCAATACAATCAAAATATTGAAGGTAAATAATTCCCTTATGAAAACTGTGCAAGTTAGTTCCTTTTCCCTTCTTCTTTTTTTTCTTTTGGTAAATGGCAGTGTCCTCATTGACTGACCCCAAAATTTGGAGGTGGGGCCCTCAGTGTCCAGCTTGTTCCACAATTAGTGTGTGCAAAAGAGCAGAAGCAGGGGGTCAGCAGGGGTGTAAGGCAGTGGCACAGGGAAGAGCCAGAGCTGGGTGCTGCCACAGCACCTGGAGCTTGGGAAGACACTGGGAATCTGCAACGGGGGTGTCAGGGACTTCAGGGGGCAGGTGTCCCCCTCTGAGAGGGGGCAAATCCAACATCGATATTAAATACGTGATTAAATATGGGAGACAAGCAGGGAAGCAAAGACTCGGAGTGTTCCGCTGTGTTTCACACCAGCAGCCACCAGACTGGTGCCTGGGAAGCACTGGGAATGAATGGGAAGGTTAAAGGAGAACATGGAAGCAGCCTGACACAAGAGCTCTGTGAACTGTCCTCTCCCAGGAGGAGTTAAAACACCCCATCGTGTCCCAGCTCCATCACCTGCAACACCTCACAGGGCTGCTGCAGGTAACCTGTTTGCAGGGACAGGGATTATGGAGTGAACTGCTGGAGCTGCTCAGGGTGACCCCAGCACTTCCACACAAAGGCTGGGATCCACCAAGCCAAGGCACACACAGCACTTGGGTGTGGATTCAGCCCTGAGACACAAGTGGAGGATGGATTAAATGCCAGCTCAGAGGGAATGTGCTGCATTTTGTTGGCTGTCACAGCTAGTTTCCCAATTTCCTGGGATGCCTGCAGTTTGCAGGAGAGGCTGGAGGAGCCAGGCAATTAGATCCCAAAAAAACCCCATCTCTGCTTCTCTATTATTTAGCTCAATCTATAATTACTGTGTTAGGAAATTGCATAACCTTTAAGGGTGTTTTATGTATAGCCTATTACAAGGAAAACAGTGCCTTCTGCATCCTTCCCATCTGGCTGGGGATAATGGATTTCAGATGTACAAATCCTGAACTGGGCAGGGAAACACCACCCAGGGAGGTGCAGATCCCACAGAAATGATTTTAAAGGGTGAACAGTCATTTTAGAGGGCTTATATTAACAACATATCCAGAGGTATCTCCAGCAGCCAGATTTGGAGGTGGGAAGAGGGAACAGCCCAATTGTGCCTCCCCTGTGATGCAGGACAGATCACCCTGAGCAGCATTCCCTGTGTCAGACTTGATTTAGTGAACAAAACCATCACTCTCCAAACCTAAAAAGAAATCAGTGTTACAAGCAGGGAGAATTACTTTTCTGCCTTCAGTGGCTTAAAAGGGATCTTGGTATTTTTTCATGACTTTAGGGCTAAGTTTAGGT